AAGTTAAGCAATATCACATGAGCAGGAGTGCTGTTTTTCCCAGATATCAGCATGATTGTGAATGTCATATTGATTTTTTAAAACGGTAAGTAAACATTTTGACTTACATTTTAGACACAGTATGTTTTTGCTTTATTTTGTCAATGAAAATGTCTTAATGAAATCACAGCAGAATTGTTTTGTGTCTGTGAGCAACACATACTTGTTGCACATACTTGTTTTGAACAAATCATTTTCATGAATGATTCAATGACTAAATGAATCGGGCATTTAATTGAATTGTCTGAATGAATGACTGTGTAAATACATCTAAATGCCACATCAGATGTCTTAATATTATTACCATTTTAAATGCAAGAATTTGACATAAGATGATGCTTGCATCTAATAAGCTTTAAAAAATGCCATTATAATGGTAAAAATCTGCTGGAAATCAATTTAAGGGAGCAACTATTGCATCAGTGGAATTTTATTTCTGTCACTTCTGTGAACTAAGCACCGCACAGAATCTGAAGGTACGGTTGTTTTTATAACAGTGCTTGGTAGATGAGTGCAGCAATAGTGGTTAATTCATGAGGAAGCAGTTTGTGGACGTGTGTTTGAGTTATTGAGTGAAACTGACTCGGGTGTGTCCTCTCTCTCAGTCTCCACCGCCTGGGTCTGGTTCTTCTGGTGCCGCATTATCTGGTAGAGCTGCTCTTCCACGCCTCGCGACTCTTCTACTTCAGTGATGAAAACAAGCAGAAGGGGTTCGTTCACTCCCTATCTTGAGCCCTCACATTGTGCTTCTTTCCACATTTGTCTTGCCATATAATCTTAGAATTGTATATGATTTCTGCCTGCTTCATTTCCCTTCCCCTGCTGAGATCGTCTTTGAACTGTTCAGGCTGTTGTTAAGAGGCCTGGCCTGTGTTTGCATCTTAGGTTCACGCTGTGGGCTCTGCTGTTTGTCATCACCCGCCTCCTGACGCTCACCGTTTCTGTCCTGACGTTTGGTTTCGGCCTGTCCCGCACAGATAATCAGGGATTCTCTTTAGCAGAGGGAAACTTTAATGTGCTGACTGTCAGGTGAGTCCGCTTGATTTCACACGTTTGCCACCTCTGTGATATTTATTTGATTTAGCAGACAGATACATTGTAATGAAACCATAACGGCAGAAGACGCTAGTCCATGTTATGTAGTAGGGGTGTGAACCTACACTGGTCTTACGGTTCGTTCGATTACGATTACCATGTCATCGACTCAATTCAATTCGATATCACGATGCACTGCATCCTCAATTTTCAGTTTTACTTCACATGTAAAGACTTTGTTTCATATTAAATGCACCACAGCAGAATGCTTATTGCGATATATTGGATGGGAAGTGCCCTTCAACGTTCAGTCAATTAACTGAAAACAGGCTAGAATAATCGATTCTTGGGATTTAAGAATCGATATTGTTCCGTAAAAATGAGAATCG